TTTAAAGTTTTGCTCTTTGCCCGTAACAACTGTATACGGTTAAATGCGTATCTCCAGTTGCATATTTATGGGAACCTACATTCACATTTAATTTTACATTTTTTAAGTCTGATTAGATAGAGGAGGAAGAGTAGGGGGCGGAGTGGGGAAGGTGTCAGCTCAACGAGGAACTAATTAATATTCAAAAGCTCGACTACCAAAATTACATGAATTCACAAATAACCTTATAATCATAATCTTAGCTGAAGTGAAGTTAACTAATCCACAAAAGCGGGCCAGGGTGGCGGACGCCGTAGTGAAGAAAGATGTACAGTATTGATTGACACTGATCAAACAAATGCATATGATGTAAAAAAAGAAAAAAAGGAATTAATTGGGGAATGAGTCCCGTTTTCTGTCTCATTCATTTTTTCCTTTATTGTGATTGTGGTTATAATCTTTTCATGTTATCAATGCTATTATAATCATCACTTTGTGTATCATCATTAGGATAATTGGTATTTTTGTTTTCATCTTCATCATCATGTAGAATGCCCAAATATAACTTTCAAAAACTCTTGGTACATAATTTCGGTGGATGGAGAGTCCTGGTACTGGGGCAGACACACTTGCTCAAGTCTAGGAGGGGACCTAGTTTCCTTTGAAACCCAAGAAGAATGGAGTTTAATTAATGACGAAATTCAAAGGCGAAATACTACGAACTATGAAAATAAATGGAGAATTGGTTTAAGAAAAAGGGCCAGGAATTGGACCTGGGTGAGTGGAAGACCGCTGACTATTTCCAAATGGGGACAAGGGGAGCCAAGTGGTGAACACGACGCCGCTTTCATGTACAAGAGGTTCCGTAATGGTGAACGGGGCGTGTTTGTAAGCCAATGTAATAATGAAAGTTGGAAAAAACCGCACGCTTATATTTGTGAGATCCCCAAGGGTGAGTTGATATGTTGTTGTTGTTGTTTTTATTTTTATTTTTTTATGTTATTTTGAGTAAACTCAAAGGCACTAGAAGCGCTTAAGGGCAATATAAAATATTATTTGCTAACGTTTGTGGTATTCTCGAGAGAAATTATAAAAACCCTCACACAGTCAAAATCAAGTTTACACTAACCTTTGCGTAAATTGAAATATTTTTGAAACAATCTCAATGAACGTTTACGATATACATGTCTAACTTTAACCTTGTGAACAGGGAAAGTTACAGATGATTCTGTTACAATCACTTTTACGAATAACAGCAGTTATGAAACTGATGGCGAATACCAATTGCAAAGAATTATCAGTCCAATTGCTTTGTTAGATGATAACGCGTGATGATGTGAAGAGCGTTATCTTTTTGTGAAGAGTTCGTGACTCATGTCGGTTAAGAACCATGCCAATTATCGTTTTCTAAAACAAATACAACAGACTTGCAGACTTATTCGTTCTTCGGATAGGGGAATCAATTTTAAGTCTATTGTGTTCTATTTTAATATCCGATCGTTTGAACTGTGAAGTTGTAAGGGCTAATTTCAATGCAATGCAAAATGTGCAGTGAGCATAATAAACTGACCATCGTGCATCTAATTCGAATATGGCGGACATTTCGATCGACTCAGCAACCATTACTCTATACCGAGGTTGGTAAGGATTGCCTCAGTTCTCATATATCCTCAGAGGGCGTAGCTGCACTTTCTTGTCTAAGAGATAGTCAATTAAAAAGTGGTTCATACGTCAGCGTGCGTTCATCGAGATATGAAGCACGCGGGAAGTTTGGAGAGCAAGAAAGATGCGTAAGAGTTGCTCGAGGCGTAGCCGAGAGAAACTCTAGCTTCTTGAGTGGAAAATGTTTTTTCTCGAGGGATTTGTTTGCTGACGTCATGAGCGTGCACAATAGGAATATGAAGCACGCTCGCGCAATTGAATTTGATTAGACAAATTTACTGGCTATGTTATAATACTGGGAAAAGTCTACAGAATATGTTTCATTCTCTAGTATTTTGGTGTGTAGTTTTAGAAAAACATCCTACAGCCCTATCTAAGCAATAATCACACAAGACGTGTGCCAAAGATGAATAAAATGCCAAAGAAACAATAGGAGCTTTCTGTAGAACTAATAAAAAATCGAGTGCGTTTAAGAGTTTTCAACGTTATTAGCGGCCATTTTGTTACTCCCCTTTCGGTCAGCAGTTTTGCCCTCGCAGCGTAATAGTAAGGCAACTTTTTTGTATGATGTGGTCTTGATTAACATTTTTCTTTGAAGATTCCTCAATATCTTTGGTAACTTCGTCGCCTTCACTATCACCCAGAATAGCAACCTCACCATCACCATCGGCACCGCCATCGTCGTCGCCGTCGCCACGACCATCGCCCTCGTCATCGCCATTCCCCTCGCCATCACCATCGCCACCGCCGTCGCCGTCGCAATCACCATCGCCATCGCCATCACCATCGCCATCCCCAGTTGAGCAGCTAGTATGTTCTCTAAATAGTCATTTACCGTTTTTATGCATGCCGTTTTTCAGGATCTCTTCTGTTTACAAACGTGAGAGACAATATTTTTAATTTTAGGCAAAGGAGTATGTATCAAAATTTGGCGGAATAAATATTACCAGAAGGACTTCCCTACAGGTATCTAATTCTATATGACTTAAAGGCTTTTTAACTTTGGTATATGTTTTTAAACGATAAAAAAAGTAAATATCTGACCTTTAAGGATAAACCACCATTAAGCCATATGAGGTAAAATGCATATGGTGAAGCTTAAAAAATAATCCAGGCCCCCAAAAGAGTTCTCTGGCCAATGAATACCCTGGACACCATTTGGATCCTTAGTATGAATTGTATATACAGTATGAGACTGCCTGTTTATTGACCTGGAAATATTTTACGTAATTGTAGGTGGCTGTTACTGTGTTTGAGGATTTCACCTTAAAAATCAAGAACGTCACAAAAGACAAGGCCGGCATAGAAGAGGTTAAAACACTGAAAACATCCATCTTTGAGGTGGCAGAGGCCGTTGAGAAATTTTCTCTTAATTACGGCAACCGACACCTGAGAGGAATGAGGCTTTCAGAAAGGATCGTTTCCCCCAAAATGGGTGAGTTTGCGGCCTTCAATCCTGTTTAGTTTCAAAGTCTATTCCTCTGTTACTTACTAACTTGCTGACTGTCCCACTGAGTTGTCTAATTTCCTATGGCATGATGTAAGAACTCAGCTATTAACCCAACTTATCAGAAATGTTATTGTTGGATGTCATCGATTCATCTATTTTGTTTTTTTTTTCAATTTGTTTGATACTTTGATTTTTCGCGGTGGAAAAGGAAATTGAACGTTCTCTTAAACAATCAACAAGAGAGAATAGGAATCCTTCAAATTGTGAAACCGTTCTTCTCGATCTGTTTATTGAAACTTTTCTTAAATAATAGATTGGTGAGTAACACTTTTGCTAACTAAAATTGTCAAATCTTAGAAATACTTTCCGCTTACTTCATACCGTACACTGAGCTCAAAATTGGCCAATCGTCTGCGATGCACATAAATGCAAGATTTTTAACCGTACTCGTAAAAATTTCCTAATGAACTTTATAGTTCTCTAACGAAACGGTTCGAGGAACGAATTGAGTTTTCACAATTTTAGTCCGTGCAGTACTACGCACTTTTTCATCAGTTTTACATTGAAAAAACGTTGTAAAATGGTTGAATTCGTCGAATAGTCGTTGAAGGGCAAATAGGATACAAACAATACACTTCCATCCAATAAGATTATGAAATATTTGTGTACACCGCAAAACGCATGTTTGTGTGGGTGTGCTATTGCAAATTTCACCGCAGGTGCTTTCATTTGTCATTTTTTCTTTCCGACAGTTTTGGTCATTCAAAAAGCCTATCATTTGAATGCAAGTGGCTTCGACTTTGAGGAACAACAATGGCGAGCGAGAATCGATATCGCTTCTTCAAATTTTGAGGAAAATGGTTCGTATTAACTATTGTGGTAACTTTACAACTTTTAGTATTACCTTGGTTTCTCCAATAGAAATTTCTTTATTGAAATAAAGCTTCATGTAAAGGCGCTTCCCTAGCTTACATAGTCTATCTTCTTCAATCATTTGCCTTCCCTAAAATGTCACATACCTCAGAGCCTGATAAACTTTTCAATATTGTTCTTTTGTTGTTGTTTAAAAACATTTTTTGTTGATTCTTGGGGCGTTTAAAGGATCAATGGTAGCTGCGTTTTTGTACAAGGATCTGCATGACCTACTTCTGACAGATCAAGCCATAAGGAGTGAAACAGACAACCAAAGGTGACGTTATTTTCATATTACTCCATGTCGTTTACCTCTAAAAACACATAACACGGAAACACATCAGATCTAAGTTCAACTAAACTGAACTGACACACTTTCCAAAAACCCTAACTTGGGTTGGAAGACTCCCTGCTTGTCTCTGACCATTCCACCTTCATGAAAAATTGGCTAATTGAATCTACCAAAAATATGTAATATTGCTTCCGTGGTTCTGCTCCATTTTTAAATACAATTTCTTCATAGGTATATCAACTCCAGGATAATGGCCGTAACTATGGACCCCAAGCCAGAGAAATTGCGAGAAAATGTCATCCTAAACTTCAAAAACCTAAAGGTAACATGAAAATTAGCTGCTATGCGTTGTTTTGATTTATTCTGACAAGATAAAATCTATTTTCAGGTCTTGACAGCAGAGAAGCACTGTATGTTTTGGAGTAGCCGCAGCAAAAGGTAAAAAAACTACAACATATTATTGCATAGTATTTATTCCTTCTTAAATTAAATTGAGTATGTAGGACAATGAATGAACTTTCTCAGATGTTTTTGCGTAGATTAACACTTTCCTGGAAGCCAACATGTTGTCGTTTTTAGAGAATGGAAGTCTGATTGAAATGTTCTCGCAAATATGACTACAGTGGAAGAAAATCTTAGCGCAAAATTCTCAAACATCACCTTTTACCCAAACGATGAATAATTTTTTAACTTTACTCTTTTTTCATGTGTGACAGCTTTTCAGAGGAAGGTTGTCATGTAGTTACGTCAAAAAGTAACTCAGAAGAAACAGTTTGCAGTTGCAATCATTTGACGCATTTTGCTGTCTTACTGGACTACGACGGTAGCACAAAGGTAATAAAGTTATTTTTGCCTTACTTAATAGTTTTATGGGCTCAATGAACTAACTCAATGTTGTCCTTTAATTTTTCTTTTCTTGACACAGCTCACCGAGGAGGACGAAACAATTCTGAAAGTTGCCACCTACGTGGGGCTGAGCCTTTCCATAATCGGGATACTTTTAACATTAATACTTTCTTCTTGCCTCACGTAAGCAATGCACTCGATTAATAATGAGGTAGATTCTTAACTCTCCTCAACAAGGCTGGTGATAAAAGAGATCTCAATGCCAGTCTCCATGCAAACAAGAACAGTCATGTCGGATTATTCACAAACTCAAGCTACATTTCATGCCCCATCACGAACTTTTGAACAACTAATGGTTTCACTTTTTATGAATTTTTTAGGCTTTAGACATTTTCTTCGCAATATTTTCTTTTTTTTGTCCTCTCTGGAGCTATTTACTGACTTACTTCTTTCCTTCGCTGTCAAGATTTAGTTAATTTTTTGCCATTTTTTCCTGTGTGTTGTTGCTTTTGTCTCATTCATTCTTCTTGTTTTTAATATTATTTTACCAGAGATGTTCGTAAACCTCTCTCTCAAATTCCACTTAGTGTTTCTATGTCCCTTGGAGCTGGACAGATCATCTTCCTCGCTGGAATAAACGCCACAGGAAACAAAGTCAGTAGCCTCTCCTTCTATCCATAGAATGAGTTTACTATTTGCACCGTAAATATCTTGTCGAAAGAAGCACGTTAAGAATTATACGAAAACTCGTCCTTTCCACAGGCTGCCTGTGTTACAATAGCAGCTCTGATGCAGTATTTCTTTATGGCCGCTTTCTGTTGGATGCTGATCGAGGGAATTTATCTCTACTTCTTCGTCGTGAAAGTTTACAACATTAACACCAAAATGTACATGTATCACGTCATCTCGTGGGGTAAGTTTATTATTTTAAAACATGCACTGGTAACTGTAACCATGCTTTCGGATCGCCAAATCTGGTGTTTTCATGCAGTAAAATGTTTTGATTTCCTTTCTTTCTTTATGGGTAGGTCTTCCAGTGATCATGTTGGCCATTTCACTTGGCATCGCTGCTGGGAAAGAAGGGTTACAAAGCTATACGAGTGATAAATAGTAAGAAAAAAATTCAAGGGTTTCTTCTTCCTCTTCTCCTTTTAATTTGTTGCATTTAACTCTTTTTTTTGTTTTTGGATATAGTTTGAAATAGGTATCATTTTATTTTCTGACAATGTGTATATCTTTCTTGTGTTTCACTTCCTCGAGTTTAGTTGCTGGCTTTCCTCGACTAACAACCTGATCTGGATATTTGTCGCCTTTGTGGCGTTTATTGAAGTTGTGAGTTAATGATTAGTGTTGGTGATTGTGATTGGTATTCCCTGGACTAATTGCTGCGAAAGATTTTTTCCTCTGCTCTTTAAAACGAATTAAGTATTTATGATATGACCCAAGACAATATTTACCATTTTCTTTTTCCTATTTACTCACAAAAAGCTTTGGACGTAGCCGCTGTTTGCGGGGATGCTGGTCAATTTTAACCTACTGATGGTCTTCAATAGCGAGAAAAACCTGTGGAGACAATGTCCTCACAGGCATAAGAGAGCTTCGTAAATTCTCCAACTTTTACTACACAGTATGAACAAAAAACTTCTGCCCCTTCCTTCAACGCAAAAATAACTCGTGAAAAAAAAACAAAACAAAAAAAAAAAATGAAAAATGTGAAAGGAGCAGGAAGAGTAGGATACATTTATATAATTTAACATAAGGCTTTACTTGGCGTAGTTCTTTCAGTTTAGACACTTTTTTGCGCGATTTCTTTTGCTCATTGGCAGATCAGATCCCACGCTTGTTACCGAATTAGTAACTTCCTTGGCAAAGATCCTCCCATACCTTGGCTATTCGACATCCATATCTAAATAATCGCTTTTTTTGGTATATTTTAGCTCAACATTTTGATACTCCTACGTGTAATAAGGGAGATGACCAATCTGTTGCAGCCAACAGGGGGAGACCACCATTTTCAGCAAATACGGTGAGAATCACAGCATAAAAATAGTGGAAGACATTGCCATGCCCTCCTGTGGGGCTATATTTGCCTAGCTTTCTCATTCCTTAATCAGTAAGGCATCAACATAAAAATTCATTGTCAAAGGAAAGTAAAAGAATGTTTTTTTCTAACTCCTAGTCTTGGCATCAAAACATGCGTGGTGATGATTCCCCAGCTGGGTGTCGTGTGGCTATTCGGTCTCCTCTCGCCTGTACATAAAGCTTTCGCTTACATCTTCACCATACTTAACTCTACTCAGGTCAGTATTCAATGGTAACTGTAAAAAGACATTAATCTCTATTATTTATTTTACTTTCTGACCAAGTGAGACACCATTAGGATGGTCAGATTACATTTATTTGGAATTTTTAAAACAAAAAGGTGTCAACTATGCAAGAGAAGGCAGACTTCTTTTTCAATTATAAGATGTGCAATTTTCCTTCCTTCTTGGAAATCTTAATAGATAGTTGACTAATTTGTTTGCAAATTGTAAAAATTAATGATCTTGAAATCATTTTTATGCTGCAGGGTTTCCTGATTTTCGCTCTACACTGTGTGCGAAACACTCAGGTAAGAAAAAACATTGAACTGATTATTAACTTTATATCATCAAGTTTTAGTGTTTCAATAAATATCCGAGTGCTAAGAATCATATTTCGTGTCGCTCGTCTATCTGCAGATCAGAGAGCGATTCAAAAGAAAGATGAACATCGTTTTTCCATCTTCTATAAAGGACAACTCCACAAGGAAGAGCCCACAGGTCAATCCAAATGAGGTTGGGAATGTATGGGCAATTTAATTGCAGTCATGTGCTGAATTTGAACCGAAATTGTACTTAAGTTAAATAACTTGATTCAGCCAATCGGAAATAACCAAATACTTAGAACAATCACTTAGTTAACAGCAATAAGTCGCTTACGATCGGTCTGAGTTACGATCTGCAGATAAAAAGAGGTCTGTGTCTACATTATTGTTAAGCATTCAACTTGATGTCTTTGTAACCTATCATTTTTATGATAATAAGTTTATTTTCTAGACGATCGTATATTTGCAGGCAAGAATCATCGAAATAAACCAATCTATAAATTTAAATTCCTAATAGCTCCGTATGCTGATGACTGCTTTGTTTCACTTACTTAGTTTATAAACTTGTTAACAAACACTGTTATTACTTTTAACTATAAGCTATGGATAGTCACTGAAATTATCAGTTTCTAGAAATTTCTAAAATACGTAGTCATGTTGGCATGCACACGAAGGAACTTTCTGCAAATTTTTATTAGGTTGCGTAGCTATGGTGTAACACCACCAAAATGGTTTTTGTAAGCGTCTGGAATTATCTGGAATACTTTGTACAAAAGGACTCAATCGTGCAGCAGTAGTAGTTGTTGTTGTCGGTAGTGACTGATTTTTCAGAGAGTTCTAATGAAAGAGAGCTACTGTGGAAGATTGTTAATTTCGAGGAACTTGGGAGACAACTGTGAGATTGTGTCAGTGGTGAGCTAAGATGTAATTTGTAGTGGGCTTAAATAAGTTTATTTAGCATAAAAGTGTACTTCCTTTAAGAGTCGCTCCTTAGTAAGAATATTAAAGTTGTTTAATAGTGTTCTTTCTGTTGGTTAAATTGTACCGTAACAAAAAAATGCCCATAGTAGTTGCAGCTAAAGTTGACGTTCAAAGCCATATCATGGTTCAACCAGGAAAATGACACCGACATTACACTTTCAAATAAACAAATAACTTTTAACGACATCCCCCGTTTAACTCACCGAACCGATTTCCCAAGACACAGACTACACCTTTTCATAATTATTCTAATTATTCTAATTATTCTAATTATTCTAATTATTCTAATTATTCTAATTATTCTAATCAAATCTATTTAATCTAATTAATCTAATTATTGATTTACCCTTGAAAATGTTTCGACAAGAAACCAAACATGCAGGAATTTAAAGAAGCTCATCCCTAATTCACAGATTTTCCCGCCAAGCCTTTTTTTCCTGATTTAACCAGCCAATTTAAACAGACACACTAAATCAAAGCCCAAAATCTTATCTTTTCTTTCTACCAACACTGTCTCTAAATTTACTTTGTTGTGTTCGTAAAAATTAATTGAGGTGCCGTTTCGTAAAGTACATAAGTAATTATAGGTAGGCAAGTGAGCTTAATCAGCGAATTGCGAGTTTTGTATTGTAATGTATTGTAAGTCATGTTCTGTTTAGTAACGTTATGTAAGTAACATGACGCTGTAAGTGACTGTTACTAAGTGACTGTTAGTATAAGTAAGAAATAAGTAAAAGTGACTTATCCAATAAGTACAGTAATGTAATAAGTAGAGTGATGTTGAGTAATGTAAGTAGAGTAATGTAATGTAAGTTTAGTTTTGTACAAATGTTTCTTCAATAAATGTTTATTAAATTAAAAAAAAATAAAAAAAATTAAGTTGACATTCAAAGTTGTTGGTTAATGAACAAATAGATGAATACGCAAATGGTTGAATAAATAAACAGCTAATTTAAAAGGACAGAAAAACTCTTATGATTGGATCGTTTTTGATCAGTTATATTTGCCAGTTTTATTCTTTTTTCTTTTTTTTCGCATCCCTAAGATAAGAAGTAGCATTTTGAATCGAAAATACATCCAATAATCTGGAATTCAATTGGGGCGATGCTAGCCGTAAATGGCATTAACCAAGAGATTATATTCTCTTGCGCAAACTTCATTAAACAGCGATTAAAGAACTTTTACACAGAGTAGACAATTTAACGGGAAAAAGTTCATCAATAGAAATGCGGAAAATTTCCGAGGGCCTGGCTTTCAAATATCACTACAACGGAGAGGCTAGCATTGAAGAGGAATTTCAACCAGCGAAAGAAGGAGTTGAACATGTAGATGTGTCTAACTCGGTTTACAACAACCTAAACTACATTGCACCTCTTTATAAATCAGCATGGATGAAGAAGCGTGCGATTTAGGCGGAAGAAGTGATATCTCAAAACGTTTCAAGCTTCGATTGCTAACTTTATTGCAGCTAAGGCTACTTCATATTTTGACCCCACCGCTCCTTCTAAAATGTTGGAATTCAAACATCTGGACACAAAAGTAATGGTCTGCATGACGCTTTTGCATGGGAGAGTTGTTTTGTAGGCTGAACGCTAAACTATTGTTGGTTTTTTGATCAATTAACGATCAACTTTACGTAAACTCACATCGAGTTCACAGTCTAAGAAAATCGAGAAGGAATCCTTTGACTCGGAGTTTGCCGTGCTTTAAAAATATTAATACATGTTATTAACACATGAGTGAATTAATCCACCAAAGTTGAAGGCCAGCGAAATAATTACCACCACCCACCAACTGAAACGGCAGCATACACAATAATCATTTCCGTTTATGCATACGAACAGATGGCGTGCTAGCTTTAGCTGCCGTTTGATAAAACAGAAGTTGATTTAAGAAAACTTTCATTTAGCGGAGCTGATAAAGAAATAATCATTCTTAACATCAATTATTTTTGAGCTGCTTCTTTATAAAATTGGAATTATAAAGAGTATTTTAATTCCGTGAAGTTTTCCGATTATATTAAGAAAAACAATGCTTCACATCTGGTGCAAGCTGCCTTTTATCTATTGTTGCCTCTTTGACGGGAAAAAAAATGGAGACAAACGTCGGGAACAAGCTATCAGAGATCATAATTTGCATTAAACTCTGTCTCGTGTAAAAGGGTTTTATAAGATGCCGTATATCCGCAACTCTCAAGCTGGTAGAATCAAATATTAGTGTAACGATACCTTTTAACAGCAACCTTTGCATATCTTGGCCATGATGAAGTGGATGATGAATGGAACTGAATCCGGAAAAATTTTCAAAACTCTATTAACATGTTGTGTGGTGGGTAAGTACGACGCTAGTTATTCCTGTTTGTTGTGCGGTAGCTATAAAATTGCGCGATGAGTACAACTGAATCCCACAAAGAGAGCAAAACCTTTTTTAAAAGTTGTGCGCTAGTATAGTAGCCACCTAATTATATCTTGATTTTCCTTTTGCAAAACATTTATATCGATTTTTGAACGTCCTGTGAAGTTTGGCCGAAAGAAAATGTCAGTTGGCGGATATTGGCACTGTTGATTAAAACAAAACAAACCAGATTCTAAAGGTGTCCGCATTTAAACTCTGAGTTCGTAATCGGAGAAGGATCTCTTACAAATTGGATTCCTGAAGCCTTTTAGATATCATATAGTGCAAAGCAATTTAAGATCAAAGCACAGGCGAGACATTCATGCTGTGGTCATGTTGTTTGCGTCATAGTTGTCTGCACAACAGCTTTAGCAGCCATATTTAGGATAACAGGAACACGATAACTTGTTGCTATCGTTTTATACCACTATGACACGATGTGAAAAGGAAAAAACGTGTCGACTTCGGATAGCTGCTGAACGTTGGACGTGCTTAGACAAGAGATCGAACTTAATCATCAGGGTCCACTTAAACTGGCGTTAGATGCAAAGTTTAACATTCGATCCGGTATTTGGAAAAAAATGTTTCAATTGGTGTACTTTTTCCTTTCTTATCGCAAATTAAAACACCATTAGTATCCATGAATTTCGATAGCTGCTTTTCTGAATGAGCTGAGGGGTTAAAGTGACGTGCACTCAGAGTCAAATAATTCAAACAACCCTTGAAATTGATTATTTTTACGAATTAAAATTCAGCAATTGAACTCCTTACAGCCACATGGAGATTCTTTTTTAATTTAAGTATAGTTCAAATAATAAATAAATTATTAGTCATGTTTAATGGATCACCCCGAAATGATACGATGGTGTTCCTCATTCCAGGGTCATGTTCAATGAATTCCAGCCTAAAGCTTTTCTGAGAGCTTTCGGATGAGGCACTATTCAGATGCCCAAACTGTTAGAGCTTTCAAATTGTTGTTCAGTCATTAACACTCGGAGTAGATGATTGCCGAATGCTCGCCAAGTTGGACGTCATGGACAATTAAAACATACTTCTCTTTTAAATTATTCTCCTTTGTACCCGAAAGCAAACTTTAAACTTATCTCATTGCTCTTCTTTTATAAAAAAATCTATGGTGGAGGTTCCGCGGTCTGCTGATCCATAGTTTAGTAACTCCCAAGAATATGGAAAAATCCTCACTAAATTTTGGAGACCAACTCCTCAAGATTGAAATTGAGCAGAATTTTTATTTGAGCGGTCAGAATCGATACATGATTAATTCGCTTAATAAAGCATCGTCCGTTTCGAATTGTTGCGAGCTAAAACGAGACATTTTTTTTTTTTGAATAGCGCACCTTTTCATTGATATATGGTTTGGTTGCACTCCGAATTTCCCGTGTAAAAAAGGTTTTTCGAAGGACATTCGCGAAGGTCTACTGTACTCTTAAAAATGTTTTCTCCATGTGAAAAGTTTTGTTCAGCTGGTTGGTAAATTGTGGAGATGCTGCATTTTTTTAAATTTATCCTTCTGCAACCTAGGGAAGGTAATAAAAGTCATGGGTAGATGCCAAAGGGTATGTAGCAAATAATCTCCATTAGCAATAGTCTAACTCGAGATCTTATAAACTCTTTCATTGTTTCAAATGTTATTCTTGAGATAATGATCAATTTTTTTGCTCGTTTTCTCTTATACAGTCATCTTTCATTTGTTGATGGATTTGCCAGGAACAGGTGAGGAAGTGTAATTCCGATTTTAACATCTATGCGCCTTAAAATGAACTGAAGATGAAAAAAGATAATATCTGATTGATTATCATAATAATTAGCCATAGACTTACAGACTTCCTGTTGGGATTACATCGGATTGTGACTCAAAACGTAAGTTGAAAAGCAAAACAAAAAAGTCGTAGAATAACGGTGCTATTACCCTGATCTCCCTTATTTCCAGTTTTAAAATCTTTCGCTTCAGTGATGTAGAGGGTTTTGATGCCCATTGTTTGTTATTAAAATTAATAGTGTCAAAAAAATACTTTCTCGTCTCAATCATTATCATTATCATTATCACAATTGTTATCATCAGTATACATTTTTTCGTTTATTTATTCATTCCTTTATTTTTTCTCATAGAGTGCCAAGCAACCTGTTTCAAAAACTCCTCTTACGTATTTTCGAAAAGTGCAGCAAGATGGAATTTCAACTGGTATGTCTGCTGGTACCAGGGAGGTTACTTAGTCTCCATCGAAACTGAAGAAGAATGGAAGTTTATCAGTAATGAGATTAAAAAGCGTGGTACTGGGAATACTAGTGCATGGCATATTGGTTTAAGGAAGAGAGACGGGAATTGGACTTGGGAGAGTGGACAACATCTGAATATTTCGAAATGGCGTGATTCTGAGCCTGAGGGTAACGACAATTGCGCGGAAATATCCGTGAATGGAAGCCTCTTTAATGGTATCTCTTGGAATGATGAAAATGCCTGCATTTGCGAGATGCCCGTAGGTAAGATCACATTCCAACCATAAAGTATATTATGTGCTGAAATATTAGAGTCTTGCACTTGTGTCGTGAAAATTTCTCTTGATTCTTAAAAGTAAAAATATTGTTCACAGAATATGCTCAGCTCACCTAACTTGTACGTGTAAGCGATAAATGAACTTTCATGCGCCTAATAGTGTTTGAACATAATACCCATAAAAATTTCCGGGACACATGTTTCAAGAAGCAATTTGATCACTCTAGAACTGTCCTTTTTTGCATCGCCTGCAGCTGGAAAAAGAGCGACCGAAATTGTACATTTCTCATCTTTTGTCGAGCGTGCTACGGTTGAAATAATCTAGCCAACGGAATTTTTCCGTGACACAAATTAGAAGTGTTCACTGAGGTCAGTGAGTGTATGCATGCTGTTTTGAGCATAACACATCGAAGAATTGTTATTTTTTGTGTGTGCGTGTGTGGGTGTGTCTGTGTGTGTTTCTTTTACGAGTCAGTGATAAATATGTTATTCACAGCCGAGAGGTCCGTATTGGGTAATACTGTGCCCAGGGTCTTGAGAACCGGCACTTAGGACAGAGTGCACAGCTTTTCCCAATACGGACCGACCTAGGCTGGTGAATAACAGTTTTTTTTCTATTAAACTCAACGAAATGTTTTTAAAAACAACCCTAATGATTTAGGGTTATAATTAAGGCAAGATCCTCCATGAACTGAACAAATTTTGAGCGAGTAAATGGTTGTTGAAACAGACTGAGGTAATGCAAATTGAAGAGAGGCTTAACCGAAATATTTTTAGTGTAGGGAACAAGATGATTTAATGATTCCAAAGAATTTTTTAAACATTTTTTTTACAAGTATCTGTCACAATCTGACACCTGTCAATTAGAGATTGCGTAAGGCAAAAGCGCATCCACGCGTTACAACGACAACAACAACAACAACAGCAACGGCGCTGATTTGGCAAATAAAATTAAGTGGAAAGTAACTCTAAGCAAATTAAAATCTATGTTTTGAATTTGTCGGAGTTTACTCGTTTGTTTGGTGCAATCACGTGTATAACTCTGGTCTTTCATCAAAAGGGGAATTTTAATGCAGCTTTTTATTGTTGAATTCCTTCGTTCTCTGTTGTGAAATTTACGGTACCAATGTCCAACTTAAACAGACTTGCAAAGACTTACTAAAAGCGTATTTGAAGTGTAGAAGACTTCGCTCACTGTTCTTCAAGGAATGAATTGTTTGAGAGAATTCAGATCTACAATTAATGAAATTTCCATTAATAAATTTAATTGTAAGCAAATACCTCACGTTTCAACTTTCTGAGTTACTTCTAGGGGAAGGTGTCAGCTCAGCGAGGAACTAATTTATTATTCAAAACCTCAACTACCAAAATTACATGAATTCATAGATAATCTTAGCTGATGTGAAGTTATCTAATTCAGAAAAGCAGGTCAGAGATTGCAGACGCCGGAGCGAAGAAAGATGTATTGTATTAATTTACACTAAAAAAAAAAACAATGTTAGAAAAAAGGAATCATTTAAAGAATAAGTCACGTTTTTTATCTCATTCATTTTTCTCCTTTATTGTGATTGTGATCATAATCTTATTATGTTATCATCATTATTATAATTATCTTTTTTTATCGTCATCGTAATAATTAGTATCTTTGTCTTCATCTTTATCATGTTGTAGAATGCCCAAATATAACTTTTAAAAACTCTCGGTACATTATTTCGGTGGATGGATGGTACTGGCACCTGAACAGAGATATCTGCCAGAGTCAAGGAGGGGACCTAGTTTCCATTGAAACCGAAGAAGAATGGAATTTCATCAATAACGAGATTCAAAGGCGGAATACTTCCAGCTGTAAAAATAAATGGAGTATTGGTTTAATGAAAGAGGACGGTAATTGGGCCTGGGTGAATGGGAGACCGCTGACTGTTTCCAAATGGGGAGGAGGGGAGCCAAGTGGTGAACACGACGTTGGTTTCATGTACAAGCGGTTCAGTAATGACAAACGGGGCTTGTTTGGTAGTGTTAATAGGGAAATTTGGACAAACCAGCACGCATATATTTGTGAGATTTCCAATGGTGAGTTAACCTGTCGTTGTTGTTTTTTTTCTTAAATGTTCTTTTGAGTAAACTAAAAGGCCCTAGAAGCGCTTAAGCGTAACAAAAACATTCTTTCCTAACGTTTGTGATACCTACGACAGAATATATATATATACTCTGAAAGTCAGGATCAAGTTTACGCTTACCTTTGCTTAAATGAAAATATGTTTTAAACAATCTCAATGAACGTTTTAACGATATAGATGTCTAACTTTTAACATTGTGAGCGGAGGAAAGTTACAGACGGTTCTGTTACTATTACTATTACAAGTAACAGCAGTTACGAAACTGATAGTGAATTCCAATTGCAAAGAATCATCAGTCCAATTGCTTTGCTAGTTGATAACGCGTGATAATGTGAATTGCGATATCTTTTGTGTGCTAGTGACTCATGTCAGTTAAGATACATGCCGATTATCGTTTTATAAAACAAATACAGAAGACTTGCAGACTTATTTGTTCTTCGCAAAGGGGAATCACCTTTACGTTTATTGCATACTATTTTAATATCCAATCGTTTCAACTGTAAAGTTGTAGGGGCTAATTTCAATGCAGCGCAAAATGTGCGGTGAACATAATAAACAGACCACCCTGCATCTAATTCAAATATTGCAAGCACTTCGATCGACCTAGCAACCACTATTCTGCACCGAGGTTAGTAAGGGTTGCCTCAGTTCTCATAATTATGTTACCACGGGGCGTAGATACATTCTTTTGTTTTAAAAATAGTCAAAACTGAGTTGGAGTTTAATTGATATTCTGCTCACCGAAAAGATAAACATAGACATGCGAAGCATGCAAGAACTATTATTTTGGTTAGGAGGGTTGAGATGGGACACTTGGTGTTCCTAACGCTTTCAGTTTTATAACGGAAAAAAGCATAACTTTTAAAATAGCGAAAATATCGCATTACTTCACCTAAAAAGAAAGAAAACAAAACCTAAATTATCTGAACTTACACTATTTGGGGTCTATTGTCTCTATTGTCTAAAAACCCTCTAAGGAAAAATAAAATGCATCGGTGCCACGCTTACCGTTGTTGTTTGGTCTCGTCACACAAATAACGGTCGAGAAAGAGACAACGTTTACTGCTGTTCCTAAGACAGCAAGAAGATCAACATTATTCGTCTACAGTTAGTTACCTCAAAAAAGAATCCTCGTTTTACCACCAAAAGCGAAACGAAACTCTGTAGTATTTCCAATAGACCTTAGCCAAAGATAGATTGCGATCTCGAATAAGTGAAGATATATTGAATAAGAGATGAGGAAAGTTTTTTAAAGACGGTTCCTTGGTTCGTTGTTGCCTATCTGGACTTAGCCACCTGAATTAAAATGCGGTGGGATTAAGCCCAAAGTGGCTAAAAGCGACTTTTATTCTCACGAAAAGTCATAACGCGGGAGAATTACGTACATAATTCACTATCAGTAGCATTCAGTTTCATGTGAATTTTTTGGTATTGGATAATGCGGTTCGAATAAGTGATAAAATGCAAGTTGTTTACGAGGAAATAACTCGTGATGGAGAAAAGTCTAATGAGGCATAATGGAATTTGATCGGTGGAATACAATTCAAACAACAGAATACGGAACAAGCTGTTAAAATATTGTCTTACAGCTTTTTCAGCTACTAGGGAAAACTCTTCAGAAGATATTTCATTCTCTACTCATTTGGCGTCTAGTTTCCAAAAAAATCCCAAAACTTTATCGGAACATCAATCACAGAAGACGTGTGCGAACGACTTAGAAAATACAAAGGAAACAATAAAAGTGTTCTGTTTATTTTTCTTTAAAGATTCATCAATATCTACATCACCCTTACCATCGTCGTCACCGTCGCCCTCACCATCACTGTCGCCATCGCTTTTGTCGTTACCATCGCCTACGCCATTGCAATCGCTGTCACCATCGCTCCTGCCATCGCCATCACCATCACACTCGCCATCCCCCTCGCCATCGCCCTCGCCCTCGCCCTCGCCATCGCCCTCGCCCTCGCCCTCGCCATCGCCCTCGCCCTCGCCCTCGCCCTCGCCCTCGCCCTCGCCCTCGCCCTCGCCCTCGCCCTCGCCCTCGCCCTCGCCCTCGCCCTCGCCCTCGCCCTCGCCCTCGCCCTCGCCCTCGCCCTCGCCCTCGCCCTCGCCCTCGTCCTCGTCCTTGCCATTTTTATCCACACTGCCATCGCCATCGCCATCGCCATCGCCATCGCCATCACCATCACCATCGCCATCGCCATCGCCATCGCCATCGCCATCGCCATCGCCCTTTGCCTCGTCCTCACTCTCGCCATTGCCATTGCATTCGTTGTCACCATCCACGTCGCCATCGCCATCGCCATCGCCATCGCCATCGCCATCGCCATCGCCATCGCCATCGCCATCGCCATCGCCATCGCCATCGCCATCGCCATCGCCATCGCCATCGCCATCGCCATCGCCATCGCCATCGCCATCGCCATCGCCATCGTCCTTTGCCTCGTCCTCACTCTCACCATTGCCATTGCATTCGTTGTCACCATCCACGTCGCTATTGCTATTGCTATCGCCATCACCATCGCCCTCGCCCTCGCCCTCGCCCTCGTCGCCGTCGTCCTCGTCGCCGTCGCCGTCGCCGTCGCCATCGACATTGCCATCGACATTGACGTTGCCATCGCCGTCGCCGTCGCCGTCGCCATCGACATTGCCATCGACATTGACATTGCCATCGCCGTCGCCGTCGCCATCGACATTGCCACCGACATTGACGTTGCCATCGCCGTCGCCGTCGCCGTCGCCATCGACATTGCCATCGACATTGACATTGCCATCGCCGTCGCCGTCGCCGTCGCCATCGACATTGCCATCGACATTGACATTGCCCTCAGCCTTGTCCTCGCTCTCGTCATTGCCATTGCATTCACCGTCGCCATCCACGTCGCCATCGCCATCGCCATTGTCGTCTTCGTCGTCGCCGTCGCCGTCGCCATCGCCATCGCCATCGCCATTGCCATCACCATCGCCATCGCCATTGCCATCACCATCGCCATCGCAATTGCCCTCGGCAACGTCATCTCTCTCGCCATTGCAAACAGCATCATTGTCATCGTTGTTAAGGGCACTGGTATGTGTTCCAAATATGTCTCTGCATGTTTCTTTTCAGGACCTGCACGGTTTATAAATTTGACGGACACTTTTTTTATTTATTTATTCCAGGCAAATGAGTATGTTTTAGAATTTGACGAAATGATCAATACCAGAAGGAGTACCATAGAGGTATACAATTTTCATAATAAAAATTCAGGCTCCTAAAAGAGTTTTCTAGCAATTGAAACCCTAAACATCAGTTGAGGCCTCAGGCTAGGCTCTATCTGCATTCTTAGTACGAATTGTCAATACGAGACAGGCTAATTAAGATCTGGAAATATTTTATGTAATTGTAGGAGGCTGTAACTATGTTTGAAGATTTCATCATAAAAATCAAGAACGTCACAAAAGACAAGGCTGGCATGGAAGAGGTTAAAACGCTAAGAATATCCATCTTTAAAGTGGCAAAAGCCTTCGAGAAATTTGCCCTTAATTATGGCAAGCAACACCTGAGCGCAATGAGACCTTTCGAGAGCTTCGTTTTCCTAAAAATAGGTGAGGTTACGGCCTACAATTCTGTTTAGTTTTAAAGTGTATTCCTCTGTTACTTACTGACTTGTTGACCAACGGACTGAGTTGTGTTAGTTCCTAGACGATGTAAGAACTCACTGTAAACCTATTCTTTTAGAAATGTTGTTGTATGTCATCGACTCATTTGTTTTTTTAAATTTCTTTGAAGCTTTAATTTTTTGCAGTGGAGAGGAAAATTAGAGGTATTCTTGAACAATCAAGAAGAGAAAAAAGGAATCCTTCAAAATTTTAAAACCCTTCTTCTCGCTCTGTTTTTGCAATTTATCCTTAATAATAAAGTATATTTGTGAGCAGAAATTACTACTGGAATAATCAAATCTTGCAAATATTTCCCTTTACTTCATACTATGCACTGAGCTCAAAATTGGCATGTCGTCTGCGATGTATATAAATCCCTGCTTTTTAAGCGCACTCGTAAAAACTCAAAAAAAAAACTAATGAACGCTAATTTTCTCTGCTGAAACGGGGAACGACATTTCAGAAATGATTTTTCACAATTTTAGTCCGTGTAGAACTACTCACATTTTTATTCAGTTTTCCTTTAAAAAAGCGTTTTTAAATCGGTTGTATTCGTTGGAGAGTCATGAAAGGGTAAATACAATACAAACAATACACTTCCATCCAATATGATTATAAAGTACACCGCAAAACGTATGTTGTCTTTAAGTATTGTTTTTCCGGCAGTTTTGGTAATTCAAAAAGCCTATCGCTTGAATGCAAGTGACTTCAGCTTTGAGGTACAACAATGGCATACGAGAATCAATATTGCCTCTTCAAACTTTGAGGAAAATGGTTCGTATTAACTAAGGTGTTACCTATACAGCTTTTAGTTGCCTTAATTTTTCTAGTGGAATTTTATATATCGAGATAAAACCTTAAGAATGAGCTTCATTAGTTTACATAGTCTATTCTCTTTCATCATCCACCTTCCCTCTGATGTCACATCCTCAGAGCCTAAAGAAAATTTGAATATTGCGTGCCTTTTGCTGTTTGATTCCTTTTTTTGTTGTTTTTGGGGGGTTAAGGATCATTGGTAGTTGCGTTCGTGTACAAGGATCTGCATGACCTACTTCTGACAGATCAAGCTATCAGGAGTGAAACAGACAACAAAAGGTGATGCTATTTTCCTATTATTGTATGTCGCTTTCCATGGAAATACGTAACACGGAAACACATAAGATCTACGTTCAACTAACCTGAACTTAGACACTTTCCAAAACCTTCACTGGGGTTGGAAGTTTCCCTGCCTGTCTCAGACCATTCCACCTTCATGAAAAATTCGCTTCAATATGTCAAAGGTACACGATGTTACTTCTTTGGTTCTGATTTATTTTTAAATAAATTTCCTTCATAGTTATATCAACTCCAAGATAATGGCCATAGCTATGGACCCCAAGCCAAACAAGTTGCGAGTAAATGTCATCCTAAAGTTCGAAAATCTGAAGGTAAAATTAAAATAAGTTGTTATGCATTGTTTTGATTTATTTTGACATGATAAAATCTATTTTCAGGTTTCGACAGCAGAGAAGCGCTGTATGTTTTGGAGTGACTTTAACACAAGGTAAAAAACTGCAAAATATTATTGTATAGTATTTATTCATTGTTCAGGTTAACAATTTCCTGGTAGCTAAGATGTTGTCTTTTTTCGTAAAGTCCGACTAAAATGTTCTCCCAACTAAGATACTACAACTATAACGTAAAATTACCGAACATCACCTCTTCCCCAAACAGTGTTTAATTTTGTGCGCTTTGTTAACTTTACTTTTTTTATAGGTCAGAAGGCTTTTCAGAGGAAGGATGCCATGTAGTTTCATTAAAAAGCAACTCAGAAGAAACAGTTTGCAGCTGCAATCATTTGACGCATTTTGCCGTCTTAATGAACTACGACGGTAACACAAAGGTAATCAAAAGCCAAAATAATTTAACTAACATTTAACTAACTCAATGTTCTTATTTGAATTTTTTCTTTTTGACACAGCTCGCCGAAGAGGACGAAACAGCTCTGAAAATTATCACCCACGTCGGACTAAGCCTTTCCATCGTCGGGATCCTTTTAACATTAATACTTTATTCTTGCCTCACGTAAGTAATGTACCTGAATATCAGTGAGGTAGATTCTTGACTTCCCTCAACTATGCTAGAGAGAAAAGAGATCTCAGTGCAAATCTCCATGCCAATAAAAACACGCATGTCGGGTAACTCAAAAATTCAAATTACATTCCATGCCCCATAAAGAACGCTTGAACAACTCATAGTTTCATTGTTTATGAATTGCTTAGGGTTTAGTCATTTCCCCCGTGAAACTTTCTTTTTTGTACTTTCTGGAGCTATTTACTGAGTTTTTTTCTTTCATTTGCTGTCAGAATTTTACTTGATTTCTTTGGCCATATTTTACTGTACATTATAATTAATTCAATTCTCTTCTTTCTTGTGCTTAGTGTCTTTAGTGTATTGTTGTTATTGTTGTTGTTGCTTTTCTCTAATTCATTCTTTTTATTTTTGTTATTATTACTATTTTTTTTACTATTTCATCAGAGATGTTGGTCAACCTCTCTCTCAAATTCGAATGAGTGTTTCTATGTCCCTTGGAGCTGGACAGATCATCTTCCTCGCCGGAATAAACGCCACAGAAAACAAAGTTAGTGGCCCCTTTTTCTATCCATGGAATGAATTTCCCCGTTGCACCGTAAATATCTTGTCGAAAGGAGCGTCATAAGTATACGAAAACTCTTTCTTTCCACAGGCTGCCTGTGTTACAATAGCAGCTCTGATGCAGTATTTCTTGATGGCCGCTTTCTGTTGGATGCTGATAGAGGGAATATTTCTCTACCTTTTCGTTGTGAAAGTTTACAACATCAACAGCAAGATGTACATGTATCACGTCATCTCATGGGGTAAGTCCATTATTTCACAACATACACTAGTGACTGTAACCATGCTTTCGGATCACCAAATATGATGTTGTCATCCAGCGAAGTTTTACGATTTCCTTCCTTTCTCTATGGGTAGGTCTTCCAGTGATCATGGTGGCCATGTCACTTGGCATCGCTGCTGGGAAAGAAGGGTTACAAAGCTATACGAGTGATAAATAGTAAGAAAAAAATTCAAGGGTTTCTTCTTGCTCTTCTCCTTTTAATTTGTTGCATTTAATTCTTTGTTTTGTTTTTGCACATATTTTGAGATTGGCATAATTTCATTTGCTAAAAATTTGTGTTTCTTTCCTGTGTTTCACTTCTTCGAGTTTAGTTGCTGGCTTTCCTGGACTAACAACCTGATCTGGATATTCGTCGCCTTTGTAGCTTTCATCGAAATTGTGAGTTTATGATTAGTGTTGGTGATTTTGATTGGTGATTGTCATTGGTATACCTGGACTACCTGCTGCTAAAGATTTTTTTCTCTGCTCTTTAAAAAACGATTTAAGTATTTATTATATGACCCCGCATAATATTTATCATTTTCCTTTTCCTATTTACTCACAATAAACTTTGGACGTAGCTGCTGTTTGCGAGGATGCTTGTCGATTTTAACCTACTGATGGCCTTTAACAGTGAGAAAAACCTGTTGAGACAATGTATTTACAAGCATAAGATAGCTTCGTGAATTATCCAACTTTTACTACATAGTATGAAGAAAAAAAATTTTCTCCCTCCCTGTTGATGGTTTCTCACTGTTTCACATTGATATATTAAGATTGTTTTTCGCGCAAGAATAACTAATTAAAAAAAACGTTGAACAGGAAGAAAGTAGCAGGAAGAGTAGAAGATTGTAAATTTATATAATTTAACGCTAGGATTCACTTGACATAGTTCATTCAGTTAAGACTCTTTACTTCGCGATTTCTTTAGCTCATTATTGTCAGATAATCGAAGCTCATAATCTAGGTCCTCCGGTTGAGAGTTCTATTTCCTGTCAATGACTCTTTTATCCAAAGCTTGTTACCAAACAAGTAACGTCTCTGTCAAGGATCCTCTCCTGCTTTGGCTACTCGATAACCATATCTAGATAATTAATTTATTTCTATTGTATTCTTTAGCTCAACATCTTGATACTCATACGAGTCATAAGGGAGATGACCAATTTGTTGCAGCCAACAGGGGAAGACAACCATCTTCAGCAAATAGGGTAGGATTTACAACATAAAACTAAAACAATATAGCCTCCTGTGAGGCTATATTCCCCAAACTTCCTCTTTCATTAATCAGTCAGGCCTTACTATATCTAACAATGAAAATCCATTTTCAACGAAAGTTATGTAATATTTTTTCTTAATTCCTAGAATTGGCACCAAAGCAAGCGTGGTGATGATTCCCTTGCTGGGTGTCACGTGGCTATTCGGTCTCCTCTCGCCTGTACATAAAGCTTTCGCTTACATCTTCACCATACTTAACTCTGCTCAGGTTAGTGTTCGATGACATCTCTCAAAATCGTTCAATATCTATTATGTTACTTTCTAATCAAGTGAGACACCGTTACAATGGTCATATGATATTTTTTGGAATTTTGAAAACAAAAAGCTGTTAACTATGCAAGAGAAGACAGACTTCTTTTTCCATTATAAGATATGCAATTTTCCTTCCTTCTTGGAAATCTTAATAGATATCTGACTAATTTATTTGCATATTGTAAAAATTAATGATCTTGAAATCATATTTATGCTTCAGGGTTTCCTGATTTTCGCTCTACACTGTATGCGAAACACTCAGGTAAGAAAAAACATCAAACTGATTATTAACTTTTAGTATTTCGATAGATATCCGAGCACTAGTACTAAGAACCGTATTTCATATTGCTTGTCTATCTGCAGATCAAAGAGCGATTCAAAAGAAAAATGAATATCGTTTTTCCATCTTCTATAAAGAACAACTATTCAAGGAAGAGCTCACGGGTCAATCCAAGTGAGGTTGGGGATATATGGGCAGTCGAATTGCAGTCTTTTGCTAAATTTGAATCGAAATCGCACTTAACTTAAATAAGTGGATATAGCCAACCGGAAAAGACCGTCAATTTCTTGGTACAAACACTTAGTTAACAGCGATTAGTCGGTTGCGATCGGTCTGAGTTACGATCTGCAGCTAAAAGAGGTCATTCTGTTCATCTTTGTTTAAGCACCCAACTAGTTGTAAACGTAACCTAACTTCTTCATGATTATAAGGTTATTCTCTCGGCAATCGGATAGATGCGGGCAAGATTCGACGACATAAACCAATCTATCAATTTAAATTTCTAATGGCTCAGTATGCTGACGACTGTCCTTCGAATAAGGTTACAGTCTGTTACAGACAAGGCGGGAATTTATGCCAGGAAATCATGGCTCGTTTTTCTTTAAAAAAAAAGCTGTGTGTATTTATTTTTTGATTCTTGCACGCTAACTCTCTGCGCTTGCTGCATGATTATTTCATATTCGGCGTTTTACTTATTGAGTTAACAAAATTTTCATCAAACATTATTATTACGGTTAAGCTATGGATAATAACTGAAAATATAAGTTTCTATAAATTTCGAGAATGGCTATGTATTCCGAGGAACTTTCTAGAGCATTTTACTAGGTTTCGTAGTTATGATGTAACACTACCAATATAGTTATGTTGTAAGCTTCCAGAATTTTCTGGAATGCTTTGTACATATGGACTGAGTCTTGTAGCAGTAGTACTTATTGTTGTCGGGAGTGACTGATTTTTCAGAACGCTGTACCGAAAGAGAGCTACTGTGGAAGATTGTTAATTTAGGTGAACTTTGGAGACAACTGTGAGATTGTGCCAATACTGAGCTAAGATATAGTTTGTAGTGGGCTTCTTTAAGTTTATTTAAGGATAATTACTCTACTTCCTTTAAGAGTCGCTCATTGATAGGAATATTACAAGTTGTTTAATAAAGTAGTTAGGTTTGTTGATAAATAATGCTCTTTCTGTCGGTTAAATTGTACTGTAACAAATAATACTAATAGTATTAGTGGCTGACATTCAAATTTGTTGCTTAATGAATAAGTAGATGAATACGTAAATGTTTCAATAAATAAACAAACAACTAATTTAGAAAGAACAGAAAAAGCCCCTATGGCTGGATCTTTTGTGGATCAGTTACATTTAAACATTTTTTTTCACATTCCTAAAATAAGGAGTATCGTTGTGAATCAAAAATACAACGAATAATTTGGAATTAAATTGGGGCAATGTTAGGCGGAAATGGCATAAACCAAGAGATTATAAACTATTCGGCATACATTATTAAAGAACGATTAAAGAACTTTTATGCAGCGTAGACTGTTTAAAGGAAAAAGCTCAGCGACAGAAATGTGGAATATTTCCATGGGCTTGGTTTTCAAATATCACTACAGCGGAGACGTAACACTGAAGAGGAATTTCGACAAGCAAGAGAAGGAGTCGATTATGTAGATGTGTGTGACAGTTTGCAACAGTCTAGGTTACGTCAAACCCATTTATAAACAAACATGAATGACGAAGCGTACGATTAAGACGGAAGAAGTAAAAATAAGAACTTTTCTGGACTATACAAGAAAATTTCTCTCGACACCGCTCAAATGCGATAGGTCAAAACGCTTCAAGCTTCGATTGACTAAATAGATCGCAGCTAACTCGGGCATATTCGAGAATAGACAATCATTATTCCATGAGCGTGGAGAGATACTGGGAGAGTAGAATGTCTCGCCCACAGAGCACATCATTATGACCCAAGAACGTCTCGCACAAAGAGCTTTTGACCTCACCGCTCCTTCTAAAATGTTGTAATTCGAACATTTTGACACAAAAGTGATGGTTTGCATGATAATAATGCGTGTTAATTGACACATGAGCGAGTTAGTCCATCAAAGTTAAAGGCGTACGAATTAAATAGACCCACCAACTGAAACGAATGGCATGTCATAGGCGAGATGAATAAATAATAATCATTTCCATTATTTTATGCATACGAACAGATGGCGTAATAGCTTTAGCTACCAGTCGATAAAAAGAAGTTTATTCGAGACAACTTTCATTTAGCAGAGCTCAAACAGAAATAATCATTTTAAAGTCAATTATTTTTGAGCTGCTTCTTTACAAAACTTCAACTATAAAAAGTGTCTTAATGCCGTGAGGTTTTTCGATTGTATTAAGAAAACAATGCTCCGCATCTGGTGCAAGTTGCTTTTTGTCAATTGGTCCGTCTCTGACAGAAAAATAAAAATGGAGACCAACGCCATGAATATGCAATCACAGATCATGATTTGCATCAAATTCAAACTCGTACCAAAGCGTTTTATGAGGACGTCGCAAACTCAAAACTCTCAAGCGGGGTGAATCAAATTTAAGTGCAGCGATAGATCCTAAGAGCAACCTTTGCTTATCTTGGGCATAATGAAGTAGATGATAAATGGAGCTGAATTCGGCAAAATTTTCAAAACCCTTTTAATATGTTCTGTGCTGGGTAAGTACGACACTAGTTATTCCCCTTTGTTCTGCTGTAGCTACGAAACTGTCGAAACTGACTTTCCAATTTATGAAATATTTATTTCCATTTTAAACCTACGGAACTCTGATAACAAAAGATACCAAACTCTACACATGTCCTTTCTAAACTATTTGTTAATCATTAAAGCAAAAGTTTGGGATCTTTGTATTATCATTATTATCATTATTATTAGTTTCTCGATATTAATCGCCTTCCGCATAATGCCAAATGATTGAATTGTGTGATGAGTACAACTAAATCCGGCAAAGTGTGCGAAACCTTTTTTAATAAGTTGTGCGCTAGGTAAGTACCACCTTAATTATATCTTGACTTTCCATTTGTGAAATTCAGCCAAACGAAACAGAGAGGTGGCGGTTATTTGGCACTGTTAATTAAAACAAAACAAAACAAACTCTAAAGATTTCTGCATTAAACTCTTAATTCTTAATCAGAGTAGGATCTCTTATAAACTGGATTCCTAAAGCCTATTAGATTCCATATAGTGCAAAATAATCAAAGATCAAATAACACAGGCGAGATATCCATGCGGTGGTCATGTTATTTGCGTCATGGTTGTCTGCACAACAGCTTTGGGAGCCATATTTAGGATGACAGGAACACAATAGCTTAGTTGCTATCGTTTTATGCCACCACTACGACAAGATGTCAAAAGGGGGATATGTCTCCTCTTCAGATAGGTGCTGAACGTTCGACGTGCTTAGACGAAAGATCGGATTAATTATCAGGGTCCACTTAAAATGGCCCGTTTAAAAATTCTGTCCGAAGGACGTTCGCGAGGGTCCACTGTATCCTTAAAAATGTTTCCCTCGTGTAACAAGTTTTGTTCAGCTGGTTGGTAAATTGCACAGATGCTGTACTTTATTTAAATTTCTCCGTCTGCTCCCTGAGGAAGGAAATAAAAATCATGGGTAGATGTTACAGGGCATATAGCAATTAAATGCATTAGTACTAGTCTAACTCGAAATCTAATAAACTTTTTGATCGTTTCAAATGTTGTTCTTGAGATAACAATCAATTTATTTGCTCATTTCCTCTTCTACATTCATCCTTCCTTTGTTGATGGATTTGCAAGGAACAAGTAGGGCAGTTTAATTCCAATTATAACATTCATGTACCTTAAAATGAACGGAAAAAAAGACAATATCTGACTGATTTCGCTAATAACCAGTCACAGACTTCGTGATCTAAAACGTGAGTTGGAAAGCAAAACAAAAAAGTCAAAGGATAACGGTGCCATTTTTATGATTTCCCTGATTTCCACTTTTAAAACCTTGCCTAATTCTAATTTTTGCTTCAGTGACGTAAAGGGTTTTGTTGCTTATCGTTTGTTATTAAAATTAAATGTAAAAAAATACTTTCTCGAATCCATCATCAGCATTATTACATGACTGTAAATATATGAAAATCATATATGTGCACTGCGCTTGAAGAAAAGAATATGGAAGCGATCCTCGCAGTTATGAACACTACTTGAGTAGTAGTGAATATAAGGCCTGAAAAATAAAACTAGCTCCCAGTTGGCTTGTTAGTTCAGTTGGCATAGATTGCACTGGTATCGGAGAGGTCATAGGTTCAAATTCCGCATATAACCTTTTATAACTGCGAGAATTGCTTTTACATTCGTATCAGCATTATTGTTATCATCAGTATACATTTTTTCATTTATCTATTTATTCCTTTATTTTCTTCCCATAGAGTGCCAAGTAACCTGTTTCAAAAACTCCTCTTACATCTTGTCGAAAAGGGGAAGAGTTTGAGATATAAACAAGCATATCTGCTCCAGTCAGGGAGGTGACTTAGTATGCCAGCGCGGGTCCGAAATCCAAAACACCCATTTGACTTGAACAGATTATCATAGCTTTAATCACAAATCCACACGCGTAATACATCTCCAAATCGCTAAAGAAGTGAATCTGTCAAACTAGATATACAGATGTACAGTTGGTATACAGAAAAACTGGAAAACGGCAAGCAGAAAGGTAAAAACTTACGCCTTTCCGGGCTCTAGCATCGGACCGCGTGGTCAATAACATAACAAAACTAGCGCGCATGAGCAGAAATCCGCGACGCATACATGACGTAAAAAAGGGCAGAAGACGGGTGCCGCTACACTTAGTCTCCATCGAAACTGAAGAAGAATGGCAGTTTATCAACCGTGAGATTCAAAAACGTGGTACTTGGACTACTGGTTCGTGGCACATTGGTTTAGAGAAGAAAGGTCAGGTTTGGACCTGGCTGAGTGGAGAACGACTGAATATTTCGAAATGGCAAGTTTCTGAGCCAGATGATAATGACAGAAAGGCGGAAATATCCAAGAATGGAGGCCTCTTTAATGGTATCTCTACGCTTAGTAGAAATGCCTTCATTTGCGAGACGCCCGGAGGTAAGATCACATTCCAACCATAAAGTATATAATGAGGTGAAACATTAGAGTCTTGCACTTGTGTCATGAATATTGCTCTTGCTTCTTAGAAGTAAAAATATTGTTCACAGAATAGACTCAGCTCACCTAACTGGTACATCTGAGCGATGAATGAACTTTTAAGCGTGTATTAGTAGTTGAACATAACGGCACGTGTTCCAAAAAAATTGATCACTCTAGAATTATATGTTTTCGCATCGTCTGCAGCTGGAAAAACAGCGATCGAAATTGGTCGTTTCACCACTTTTGTCGAGCGCGCTACGATTGGGATAATCAAACCAACAAGGCATGTTCACTGAGGTCAGTGAGTGTATGCATGTTGTTTGGAACATTAAAAACCGAAGTATTTTTTTTTTATCTGTGTGTGTTTGGATGTGCGTTTGTGTGTTTCTTGTATGAGGAGGGGGAGGGGGAGGGGGAGGGAGAAGGGGAGGTGTCAGCTCAACGAGGAACTCATTTATTACTCGGAAATTCAACTACCAAAATTACATGAATTTACGGATAATCTTAGCTGATATGAAGTTAACCAATTCAAAAAAGTAGGTCAGAGATTGCGGACGCCGTAGTGAAGAAAGATCTATGGTATTAATTGACACCGATCAAACATAAACTGCAGATGTTATAAAAATGGTAATCAAAGAGAGAATAAGTTTAATATTATTTTGAGTAAACTAAAAGGCATCAGAAACGCTTAGGTGTACTAAAAACATTCTTTGCGAACGTTTGTGATACTCATGAGAGAATTTACATAAACCTTCTGACAGCCAGGATCAAGCTTACCCTTACATTTGCGAATGAAATATGTTTGAAACAATCTCAGAGAACGTTTTTACGACAAACATGTCTAGTTTTAAACCTTGTAAGCCCAGGAAAGGTGCAGATGGTTCTGTTTGTGTTGGTCCTTAACTCCGAATGAGCACAAACAAGAAACTCAACCAAACAGTTTTTAATCAAGTAAACAGATCAACCTCAACCAACTGACAAGAACGTCAACGCGACGTTTTTTCTGAAAACGCAATATTATATATCAGCGGTATTGGCCCCTACTTCATAAATAACATCACACTGTTACTATCAGTATTACGAATAACAACAGTTATAAAACTTTCAGTTATCAGCTATTTTCATGTAGTTAATTTATCGATTGAACATAATGATGGTGAATATCAACTGCAAAGAATCATCAGTCCATTGCTTTGTTAGATAATAACGCGTGATGATGTGAAGTGCGTTATCTTTTGTGAAGAGTTTGTGACTCATGTCGGTTAAGATACATGTCAATAATCGTTTTATAAAACAAATACAAAAGACCCGCAGACTCAATTGTTCTTCGCATAGGGGAATCAATTTTATGTTTATTGTATTCTATTATAATATCCGATCGTTTGAATTGTAAAGTTGTAGGGGGGCCTATTTCAATGCAATGTAGTGAACATAATAGCAAGCACTACTCTATAGCGAGTTTAGTAAGGGTTACCTCAGTTCTCATATGTCACCGGAGGGCGTGGAAACATTTTCTTGTTTACAAAATTGTCATTACTGTGTTGGAATTTAATTGATGTTCTGCTCACCGAAAAGATAAACATAGCCATGCGTAGCATCCAAGAGTTATTACTTTGGGTAGGAGACTTGAGATGGGACACCATGGGTGTTCCTAACGCTTTCAGTTTTGTAACAGAAAAGGAGCATAACTTTTAAAGTAACGAAAATGCCGCACTACTTAACCTTAAGAGAAAGTAAAAAAATCTAATTTATCTGAGCTCACACTATTTGTGGTCTATTGTCTCTATTGTCTAAAAATCTCTAAGCAAAAACAAAATTCATCGGTGCCACGCCTACTGTTGTCTCCTTCGCAGCTGTTGTTTGGTCTCTCACTCACTGGGAATAGAGGGCGTTGCGTGACGAGACCAAAGAGATGCCAAATGCCGTTTCTTAGACAGAGAGAAAAATCAACATTATTCATATCCATAAAGGGGTAAGTTTCTAAAGAAACTGTGGTGCTGCGTCGGTGGGAGAGTATAGCAGGTAATTTAAACAACTGAGTTGAAAACGTAAATTAGCCACCGTAAAGGGTAAAAAAGCTGACGTTTCGATAGTTAGCCCTTCGTCACAGCGATTGGAGGAATTGTGGGTTGTGTGTGTGTTTATATGCAGAAAGTGGAGCTATGCCATTAGTGGGATATGGTGACGAGAAAACAGGAATAAATTAATTCAATGAGAAGCGCTCGTTGATTCCGTGGGGATTAAGGGTGCCGATTTGGAAGATAAATTTTTTGTTCTAGTGTTTTGCGGCTTTCCGAACTGCCTAGATGTAAGGAAAGGCCGCAGACTGCCATATGCTGTTAAGAATGATTAGGAAGATTAAAGTGTCTAGCGACTGGTTTGAATGCGTCCTTGTCATTTCTTTCCACGTCGCGAAGGTGTTCCCGAAATCGGTCACCTAGTCGTCTTCCTGTATCGCCGATGTATAACTTATTGCAATAAGAGCAAGTTACGCAGTAAATCACATCGGCGGAGGTACATGTAAAGTGATCAATGATCTTAGTGAAAGAACAAGTTTTGCATTGTGAGCGAGCGCATTTGAAAGTTCCAGATTGGTCATTGGTTTGAAATGAACTCCTGACTGAAAAGTTGCCTATGTTTTTGTCACGTTTGAATAAAATAATTGGGGGTGCGAAAAGATAGTGCCAGTCTCCGAATCGCTTTGGAAGAATTTAAAATTTTTAAGAATGATAGATTTAACTGCGTGGTTGTGAGGGTGAAATGTAAGAGTAAATGGAATGCGGTCAGTGTTTTCCCTCTCAGCCGTGGGAGTAGAGTTATGAAGCACAAAGAGAAAATCTAAGAAGACGAAAGAAGTCTAAGTCCAGCAATTACCTTTTGAAATCGTAGCTCTAGGATTCTTGAGAATCCGTCCTGTGATGCTACCCATGAAACCACGTAGCTCTTTACACTCACAAACCGGGGGGATAAACGGAACCTCGACGCACCCTTCCCCCCTTCCCATGTATCTTTTTCTAAAATGATTGTAATATACACTATCGTTAGCAGAGATGTTCTGCTGAAACATTAACGTGACCGCAATTTTTGAGAAAAGTCAAAATATCAGGACTTACTGACTTTTCGGACCCGGTACAAGGTATTAAAGAGGGAAGGAAATCCCTGCTCGCCTTGACGTCGGTGAGTATCTCGCAAGATATATTTTTTTTGCGTTGGCTTCATTAAACATCTCAGATTGAACAGAACATGAATGCGTAGCGACAACGCTCTCCTCGTGCCCGTCTCTCCTAGGTTGATCCTTACTTCCAGGATTTGTCCACGTTTTATCTTTCCTAGTTTTCCTTACTCCTCAAAAACGAGCTCTTCAAATTCGAGTTGCAAATGCCACCTTCTAAAACCGTTTTATTTCACATCTTGCATGTCACCCAATCGAGGGTCTCCATGTGGTTAACCGTTAGCCGTAGGTCGGTCAAAAAAGCTGAACCCTTAGTTGTAGAAAAAATTAACCTTGAAAATCTTTCCTTCCTACACTGCGTTATTTTGTGTTATTCTGCGTTATCTGAAGCAGAGAAATGGCCCCAATTTTAACCGTCAGCCGTAAAAAGTTCTCCTCGGTCGGCCCTCCTCAGTTTTAAGAAAGTTTCGATTTTTTAACAGGCTTTTTAGTTAAGTGTGCAATCGTGGAAAAAAAATCAATATTTTCTACACTCGAGGAACCACACTGACCTAGGGTACCTCCCATGATGAGGATGCTTTCGATAAACAGATGAAAGCACCATCCCCCAAAGGGAATGATAATTTCTTTTTTCTTGCCTCCAACGATTTTTGACAAAACATTACATGCAGAAGAAGCGCGTCGCGTGGTATCCAGAGAAACAGCTACCAATGAAACTAGCGGTTGAAAAATCTGAAAATGTTGAGGTTTATATCTCATCTAATAACTCTCTCCAAGCTCTCGAAGGAAATAGGCAAAAGTTGAGCGAATGAGACATAGGTGCGCTCCTACTTCAAACGACAAGATGTGACAAAACATATCTGTCGCATAACGCGCTGAAGAAGTGCAGTTATAGAGTCAAAAAATATCGAAGTTTATCTCTCATTCAGTAAACTTATTCAAAGAAATGGGCAAAAGTTATTAAGCGAATACTACTTCAAACGACAAGAAATGGCTTATGCAGGTTGATGCAGAAATTTTCTTCCCTTTGTTATTGATTTCCTCTTCCACTCTAATGTTACTTTATTGTACTTAGATAACAAGTAAATAGTCTAATTGAAGTAACTAAAATAAAAAATCCAAAAATCCAGATCGTTCTGAGCTTCTTTCAATGCTCTGTAGGCTAGTAACTAAAATTTAAATCAAACTTCTCGTTTTGCCTTTAGGCGATTAGTTTAAACAATATGCTTAAAATGAATCGTTCAGCAGGTAAAAAATAACACAATTTATCGCATTCAAAATTAAAGGAGAAATCTCAGAAAAATTAACCAATACCAAGACTAAATCCTGGCCATTACGACCAAAATCTGTCATTTAACTCCAGATATATCAAATTCTGATGGGCAGAAATTAACTTTAAGTACCAATAACTGGGTACAAATCCTCGAAAAGTTAGTTATTGTTCGTTGTTTGACATTCAAATGTTAGTGTATTGTACTGAGTTAAAAAGCAAAAATCTAATCCGAGAAACTAAATAAAATCGTTTGGCTCCAACTTTCCAGCTCGTTCTGAGCTTCCTTCAATACTTTGTAGGTCAGTAACTAAAATTATGAAATAAAACTTCTCGTTTTGCCTTTGGAGATTAGATTACGCAATATACTTAAAATGCATCGTTCTTCTTGTAAAAAAATAACACAATTAATCGCATTCAAAATCAAGTAGCGATCCCTGTAAGAGTTGTATAAGAGTATCAATCAGATAATTTTAAAAGGCCAAAATTGGACAAATTTTTACTATCTTGTGTCGAAAGACTTCAACAACAACGTATCGAATATCATAATTTGATTGGCGTTCAGTCAACCTTTTAATGGTAACCTCTTTTTTAAGAAATTAGCTTCTGTTATTTCATATTTGAGTTCTGACAGCTTATGCTATTCAACCTGTATGAACATTCCAGAACCAAACTACAGGATTTTATCTGGTGTAACCGGCGATAACAGCGCACACTTTCCTCCAAAGATAGATTATTGGGCAAAGTTTGAGGGAAAACTTTGTTCCGATGCGAAATGCCCTGGACGCTCTTAGAGAGATCGCCACTTAAAGGAGAAATCTCAGAAAATTGACTGATACCAAGACTAAATCCTGGCCATTACGGCCAAAATCTGTCATTTTAAGTCCAGATAAACCAAATTCTGATCGGCAGAAACTAACTTTAAGTACCAATGACTGGGTACAAATCCTCGAAAAGTTAATCACAATTTCCATCTTGATAAAGAAACCGATTGAGAAAAAGTCTAAAAAAAACTGTGGAAAACGTTTTCAAGACGTTTCAACTTCGACGTAAATGCAACGCCCAAATTGGCCTTGTAAGTAATACTTAGATTAAAAATTAACTTTTTACATAACTAGTCGTGATAATTTCAAGACATCATATGAAAAAAAAAAACAGTAGTTTCAGCAGAACATTAAAGATTAAGCTCTAAAGAGCAGTTCAGTCAAGCAAAAATTGAAAAGTCAACTTTTGAATCAAAGGAAATCCGTTCTCTTGTTAAACTTGACTTTGGCCGTCTTTTGGTTCTTCTTGCTTTGAAAAGAAGACTCTTGAGAAAGATTCATAAGTAGCTTACTGGTTTTTGGTTCAAATATCAGCGTTTGCAGGTATCCGAAAACACTCTGGGATTCAAATGTTCACTGCCTTAACTGAAAAATAAAAAAAGCTAAGTTTAGGGAGGATGGTTGAGTTTTCATGAAATATTTCCTAGCACATGCGGAAACGATACATTGCACAACAGCATTGTTTTAAAAGAAATTTGCTTTTTTACTCCTATTATGTTTCCTGACAAGAATGTCATCATCGTAAACGTGTCCACTTGATTGTACTCAATTTGCAGGAGCAAAAACTAAATTCGTAAGCCAACTGAAAGGAAAATAACACGCAAGTATCACTGCTCATACATAAGCTATAATTATGATTTAAGGTAACTTTGTATTGAATAGAATGTATAAACAGAATATTTACTTGTTTCGGCTTCCAATATCCTTGAAATCTAGTTTGACGTCATCACCAATGAGTACAAATGGTGCCCAGTAAATCACCTCCTTGAACTTTTCAATTTCTCTCATACACTTCATGGCCTGATTGAGAGCTTCACTTGCCTTCTTGCCTTTGGCAAGTGCATCGTAGAAGAAAGTCATGAACTCCAGGGTCCCCTCGTCGCCAATCGCCCACAAGGTTACCACAACAGATCTAGCACCGGCACCCAAAAGTGCACGCGCCATGCCGACCACACCCTCAGCCATGACCTCCCCACGAGCAGTGTGACAGCAGCTAAGTACAACCAGACGTGCTCGCAACCCAGCTTCTATGACATCTTTCATCGTCAGTAGATAGTCTTTCTCTTGCGGATGAGGGTTTTGTCTTGTGGTGTTTGGTGCCAGGATAACTTCTCCAGTTTCCATTTTACCGTGCGCTGCTATGTGAACTAAGGCCACTGATGATATTCGTTTTAACACTTCATGTTTTGTTGCAATTTCTCCAGTGAGGGGGCAAACATTAAGGACACGGCCGATCATCTCCACTTCTTTCCTTGCTCCTGGAAGTTGCACTAAAAGTCCTCCCTGATAGATGATATGTTTGAAACATGGGTCACCGACAAGCAATGCACCAGTCTTCACGTGAAAGTCAGCTGGACAATCATGAATTAGTTGCAACGTCGTCAGAGAGGGAAGCACACGAATTCTGAAAGAATCACTTAAATATGATGAGTTCGACTCCTGCAATGCTGCATAAGGTACAAGGCAAAATGGCCCCTCAGGAACGAACGTGATCTCGTCGTTGCCTTTGATCAGGTCAGCAATAGGAGAAACGATGATGTCATGCAGCTTATTTAAAGCACTTGATTGGGAGTGCCTCACATCAACTCGGATCACACCATTGGCCATTTCTTCTTCTGTCGGCGAATCAAGCAGAGGATTTTCGATTGCAACACTACCTCTTGCACCGATCTCCTTAAGAGCAGATTTGTTCAGTAGCTGGATGAAACATTTCAATTCATGCTCAAACTTATAGTCGTTGACGTGTACCTGTCTCATCTGGATGTTATCTTCACTAAGGCAAACCCAGAAGTAAACGCATGGCCCATTGATAGCTATGAAAACTGTGCTCAATTTAACACATCTCAGAGAAATGCGGGGTGCGCTGTGCGTTAAAGAAGCTCCAGGCGAATATTTTGTTTCCATGAGATCTCTCAGAGCTTGAGCACTTCCTTTCTCTGCGGCAAGAAGAGCCTTTACAGCTTGACCTCGATTGAGATTTATACGCCACAAACCTTTGTATGCACCTTGGTACTTATTACGATAAGAAATCTTCCACTGATCGTTGAGTTGAAGACTGGCCCTGATATCATCATACAATTCTACACTCGAGTAATAACAGTCAAAGGCCACCATAAGATTTCCTTGGCACTCAAAACTGTTTCCAAGGGAATAGAGTGAGCGCGCTTCTCCGGTCTTATTTCCCACTTCTTTAGCAATTTCAAGACAACGGTGATGGTACTCGATGGCTGTTTTAAACTTTCCTAGACTGGCATGATCGTTGCCGAGATTGCAATAACTTGCTCCCTCTCCGGCCTTGTCCATCACTTCTTTAGCAATTTCTAGATGACGTTGATGGTACTCCATTGCTGTTTTGAACTGTCGTAGATCTTGGTAAGCGTTGCCGAGGTTGCCATAACCTGCTCCCTCTCCGGCCTTATCTCCTACTTCTTTAGCAATTTCTAGATGACGTTGATGGCACTCGATGGCTGTTTTAAACTTTCGTAGACTGCGATAAGCGTTGCCGAGATTGCCATAACTTGCTCCCTCTCCGGCCTTGTCTCCCACTTCTATAGAAATTTCTAGATGACGTTGATGGTACTTGATGGCTGTTTTGAACTCTCCTAGACTGTGATAAGCGTTGCCGAGATTGCCATAACCTGCTCCCTCTCCGGCCTTGTCTCCTACTTCTTTAGCAATTTCTAGATGACGTTGATGGTACTCGATGGCTGTTTTGAACTCTCCTAGACTGTGATAAGCGTTGCCGAGATTGCCATAACTTCCTCCCTCTTCGGCCTTGTCTCCCACTTCTTTAGCAATTTCTAGATGACGTTGATGGTACTTGATGGCTGTTTTGAACTCTCCTAGACATCGATAAGCGTTCCCAAGATTGCCATAGCTTCCTCCCTCTCCGACCTTGTCTCCCACTTCTTTAGCAATTTCTAGATGACGTTGATGGTACTTGATGGCTGTTTTAAACTCTCCTAGACCTTGATGAGCGTTGCCGAGACTGCCATAACTTCCTCCCTCTCCGGCCTTGTCTCCCACTTCTTTAGCAATTTCTAGATGACGTTGATGGTACTTGATGGCTGTTTTGAACTCTCCCAGACGTCGATAAGCGTTGCCAAGACTGCCATAACATCCTCCCTCTCCGGCCTTGTCTCCCACTTCTTTAGCAATTTCTAGATGACGTTGATGGTACTTGATGGCTGTTTTGAACTCTCCCAGACGTCGATAAGCGTTGCCAAGACTGCCATAACTTGCTCCCTCTCCGGCCTTGTCTCCCACTTCTTTAGCAATTTCTAGATGACGTTGATGGTACTTGATGGCTGTTTTGAACTCTCCTTGACCTTGATAAGCGTTGCCGAGATTGCCATAACTTCCTCCCTCTCCGGCCTTGTCTCCCACTTCTTTAGTAATTTCTAGATGACGTTGATGGTACTTAATGGCTGTTTTGAACTCTCCTAGACTGTCATAAGCGCTGCCGAGACTGCCATAACTTCTTCCCTCTCCGGCCTTGTCTCCCACTTCTTTAGAAATTTCTAGATGACGTTGATGGTACTTGATGGCTGTTTTGAACTCTCCTAGACATCGATAAGTGTTGCCGAGATCACCATAACTTCCTCCCTCTCCGGCCTTGTTTCCTACTTCTTTAGCAATGTCTAGACGACGTTGATGGTACTTGATGGCTGTTTTGAACTCTCCTAGACTGTGATAAGCGTTGCCGAGATTGCCATAACATCTTCCCTCTCCGGCCTTGTCTCCCACTTCTTTAGCAATTTCTAGATGACGTTGATGGTACTTGATGGCTGTTTTGAACTCTCCTAGACATCGATAAGCGTTGCCGAGATCGCCATAACTTCTTCCCTCTCCGGCCTTGTCTCCCACTTCTTTAGCAATTTCTAGATGACGTTGATGGTACTTGATGGCTGTTTTGAACTCTCCTAGACTGTGATAAGTGTTGCCGAGATTGCCATTACTTCCTCCCTCTCCGGCCTTGTCTCCCACTTCTTTAGCAATTTCTAGATGACGTTGATGGTACTTGATGGCTGTTTTGAACTCTCCTAGACATCGATAAGCGTTGCCGAGATTGCCATAACTTCTTCCCTCGCCGGCCTTGTCTCCCACTTCTTTAGCAATTTCTAGATGACGTTGATGGTACTTGATGGCTGTTTTGAACTCTCCTAGACTGTGATAAGCGTTGCCGAGATTGCCATAACCTTCCTCCCTCTCCGGCCTTGTCTCCCACTTCTTTAGCAATTTCTAGATGACGTTGATGGTACTTGATGGCTGTTTTGAACTCTCCTAGACTGTGAAAAGCACTGCCGAGATTGGCATAACCTCTTCCCTCTCCGGCCTTGTCTCCCACTTCTTTAGCAATTTCAAGATGACGTTGATGGTACTTGATGGCTGTTTTGACCTCCCCTAGACTGTGATAAGCGTTGCCGAGATTGCCATAACTGATTCCCTCTCCGGCCTTGTCTCCCACTTCTTTAGCAATTTCTAGATCACGTTGATGGTACTTGATGGCTGTTTTGAACTCTCCTAGACTGTGATAAGCGTTGCCGAGATTGCCATAACTTCCTCCCTCTTCGGCCTTGTCTCCCACTTCTTTAGCAATTTCTAGATGACGTTGATGGTACTTGATGGCTGTTTTGAACTCTCCTAGACGTCGATAAGCGTTGCCGAGATTGCCATAACTTCTTCCCTCTCCGGCCTTGTCTCCCACTTCTTTAGCAATTTCTTGACGACGTTGATGGTACTTGATGGCTGTTTTGAACTCTCCTAGACTGTGATAAGCGTTGCCGAGATTGCCATAACTTGCTCCCTCTCCGGCCTTGTCTCCCACTTCTTTAGCAATTTCTAGATGACGTTGATGGTACTTGATGGCTGTTTTGAACTCTCCTAGACTGTGATAAGCAATGCCGAGATAGGCATAACATCCTCCCTCTCCGGCCTTGTCTCCCACTTCTTTAGCAATTTCAAGATGACGTTGATGGTACTTGATGGCTGTTTTGACCTCCCCTAGACTGTGATAAGCGTTGCCGAGATTGCCATAACCTCCTCCCTCTCCGGCCTTGTCTCCCACTTCTTTAGCAATTTCTAGATGATGTTGATGGTACTTGATGGCTGTTTTGAACTCTCCTAGACTGTGATAAGCGTTGCCGAGATTGCCATAACTTCTTCCCTCTCCGGCCTTGTCTCCCACTTCTTTAGCAATTTCTAGATGACGTTGATGGTACTTGATGGCTGTTTTGAACTCTCCTAGACTGTGATAAGCGTTGCCGAGATGGCCATAACTTCTTCCCTCTCCGGCCTTGTCTCCCACTTCTTTAGCAATTTCTTGACAATGTTGATGGTACTTGATGGCTGTGTTGAACTGCCCAACATTATGGTAAGTACATCCGAGACTGGCATAAGTGTTTGCTTTGACTTTTAGTACAGCATTCGATTTCTTTATTAATTGAAGCAGACGTTCGTTATTGTTTTCAATCTTAAAACGTGTCAAGGATAGCTAAATCATGGGTGGATTTGCGAAAATGCAATGGAAATGTTTGTTTTAATAATAATGAGAGTATTGGATAAACTTTAAAATTGGAATGAAAATTCGAGCGTGGATTTCTTGAAGAGATTTGATTTCAAGTTATTCGAGAGTGTTAGCTAGCTCTGTAGCGCATTTATCAGTTTAAGTTCGGTCGTCATGGTGATGCTCGTCTCAAGACAAAAATGAGGGGCATTCAGCAGAAACTCTGGGAATTTGTTAATATGGCCTCTTCTTTTAAGTAAAGTTTCGTGGAATAATCGAAAGAACTCGTTAATAATATTTCAGCCTCTTTCAACTGCTCAGTGCAGTATAAGAGAACATCGCTTGCATTATGTGTAGAAGAATCTGCCAGGAACGTATTGATTTTTCTTGAAATATTATTCGCATTGCATCTCGTATCACGTTTGAAACATTCGTTAAAGGATACTGCCAATCCCATATGCGACCAGCTCCTTGCTTCTTTATACCAGCAAAGTTCGACACAAGCTCTGGCTCCTGAAAAGGAGAGAATAATTGGTGGTGCGAGTTAATTTATCACTGTTAAGGTATAAACGTATTGATAAAATGGACTTAATTTCCCAGTTAGCTGGGAACAAAAATTGTGATAATGAAGGAAATTTGAACTTGTAGAAGAACTGAAAATGAACAATAAGGAGCTAATGCAAAGCGGCTACCAATTAAGCTTCAATTGATGATGATAACGATGAATTTATCTCGCGCATTCTTTACTTCAATATGCACTTTAGCGCTTTTTAGCACTTTTCGGGAAGTTTTCGGGTAGACTGCATTGAACAGTTAACTTTTGAAAGGGAATTTTTCAGGTGCCTCCTCAGGTGCCCGGGTTCGTCCCCTGCCAGGAGTGACTGAGAAGATGCAGGAAACGGGGCTTACGGGTTTCCACCCATATCCGGGACAAGAATATCAAACCATTTGCAGATGTCACAGCTTAGGCGGCAGCACATTGTCCTCAGATGTTTTAAGACTCAGGTTGATGGTCCAGTCTAGGGCTTGAACCCTCGACCCTTGGCACTCTACAACGTGAACTAACCAGGCAGCGGTATTTGAGAGTTTATTATTTTCTTATGCTTTTTACCCACATCACAGACGTTGACACACCAGATACAATTGACACTTGGAGTGCAGTTACCTGCCACAAACCACACAATCCTCTTTTGAAGAAATCAAAGAATAGAATGTTGATGGCTTATGTCTGAAAAACCCACCTTTCTTAATAGCCTTGATTAAAGTGGGTTCCAACTGAACAGCTACTGTTGCATCATCGAGACATTCCACATAGTTTGCTATGAGATTCCGAAAAGAAGGTTTAAAAAAGTGGTAATCACACTCAATTGCAACAAAGAGGCCTTGAAAATTACAATTGCTTAAAATGTAACGAGGATCATTTCTTTGCTTAATTTTCATCCGCTACAGGGCGATTTATGTTTTTACGCTACTTTTACAGATTGTGTATTCCGTTATCTTGTAACGCTGCACGACAGATTTATATGTTTACATGTGAAATTCTTACCCAAACGGAAATGAGCTGTTGCCCTGTTGCTATAAAGCTTAGCGTTAAGCCGTACATCTTTGCAGTTCACTTGAAGTCCTTCCGTGTAGGAGTTTATCGCGTTATTAGCTTCTCCTTGTCTGTATTCTTTGTTACCTTCCTCGAGACATACTTTCGCTATCCCTGAAAGCACACAGTTTTGGTGTTAATGATATAGTAATGAGTGATACGACTCCATACTACAACTTTATACTTCCAAACGAACTTTTAGGTTAAAGGAGCGTAGAGCTACGAAAAAGAAAAGATCAGAATAGTTTAATATCTGTACATTTTGTTTGTGTGCAAGCTGTCGAGAGTCTGGGCTGAAGCTTGGCTATTACCATTTCAAGTTTATCGGTTTACATTTAGGTCGAAAGGCTTTCACAAACCCCTTTTACACCTGGCTTACGTTTTCCAAAATATCACAAGTTTCACCAGGAGATCCTATTTCAACTCAATTTCTTTTACAATCGCCCTTCAGGAGAGTTTGTCTGTGCAATTTGTTTGCTTTAAAATATGCAAGCTGTTTGGAGTTTTAGCTGTAGCTTCGGTTCTAACCAGATCAAGTCTGTTCGGTTTACACTTAAGTCGAGAGGGTTTCCAAAGTTCCTTTTACACCTGCTTTACACGTTCCAAAATATCAAGCTAAAATATAAAATCCCATGAGTTACTGAGAAAAAATGTAATGTTCTGATAACAAAAGAAACATCGTGCTGAGAGTGACAAGAGTTCGTGGTTTGCCCATCCTTCAGAAAAGAGCGTCGTAAAACATGTTTTTTGTTTTAGCTGTTTTTTGATTGGGAAAGTACCACTTTCCCACGAAGTGCCATTTTGCCTGTTATAAAAGTCAGGGGTTCTACATTTTGTTGGCTGGTGGTTTACAGCGTGGGCCTGGTATTGACATAACTGTTTAAAGAGGCGTGAAATATTTAGAAGACTAAAACAGGCCATACGGCCGAGACAAAATGCCTCCTCTTCTCTGTAGAATTCTCAAATTGCGTAAAATTTCTGCCAAACATGTGTTGAACAGTAAAGGACAGGAAGGTGTTAGCGCAAATACTTTCCTTTTGGCGGCCTCAAAAAGTTACCCGTGTGCAAATTTTTCAAAACTCGACTTTGACAGGTCTACGGGTACCAACAGCTCCCTCTTACCGAAAATGACTTTTATACAAAAAATGACAAAATTAAGAATAATTTCAAGTGCAAAAAGGATAATACTTTTTCCGCGCAAATATCGTTCATTTTAAGCGTAAATTTTAGATAAATAGTTAATCTCCAAAACATTGTGCGTTGATTTACAAACAAGCACTTCTAAAACTCAGAATTCTGAGTTTTACGAAGCCTAGTAGGCCAATTTTGGCCCATTCTTTAACTTAGGGCTCTCCAAAGCTAAGTCGCCTTCAAATTTGTCGCTTTATTGCTTAGAATAATTAATGATGTCTATGCATTTTAACTGATCGGATCGAGCAGTAAATTGTTTTTTTCCTTTGGTTTTTCATTTTACTGGTAAAAGAGTCAGAATTTGAAGAAACAATCCTTTGCTGTTTCAAAAACTTATTCACAGAACATACGCAAATTTTGATGTAAATGTGACAAAAAATTTACTGGGGCGTGTTTTAAACGATCTTATTTCACATGGTTTTCTCACCTCTTAAAGGGTCATTATATACATCCAGTTCAGCATCACTTGACGTAACTTGACTTTCTTCTGTCGCTGAAATTACCGAGAAGATATTTCAACTTTGCTAGTGATCACAACTATGTGCAATTACAACTAGCGTTCTAATACTGGCGTATTTAGTGGATTCCTTAAAACCATCTAATCGAATTGATCAAAAAAATTGTGCACCAGAATTAAGATATACTTAATTAACAAACAGTACAAAATCACCACAACGAAGTCTTTCCTTGTTGCTTTTTCTCACCTGTGGCCGGAGACTCATTTTTCACCTCCAGTTCTTCTCCCGTTGTTGGGAGGTTGCTTTCTGCCATAGCTAGAAATGAAATTGAATCGATTGTACTGCGCTACATTGTTTAAAATCAAAAGAGGAGACTCAGATGAAAGTAACCCAGAGAAAACATCTTATACTTAATCATAGAGGATGAATGAGAATCTCAAAGTTTCCTCCGTCACGCTATTGTGATTGCATGACAGTCAAGTTCTGCGGGTTGTGTCATGTTTGTTTTTTCAATTGTTTGTTTGTTAATTTGTTTTCGTAGTCTCATCTGATGAAACGTCGTTCAAGGCTGTCCCTTATCAAAAAGCGTGAGTTGCAATAAACAATCTAGTTATACCCGGTAGGCATGGATAAGCATGGATCAAAAATTATGCAACAAACGAAACCGAAACACCTTTGAGGGCTTGCGTTACCGTCACGAATTCTACCAACACCCCGCGAGCCTATTGCGTGAAGAAACACGTTTATCGACCCTGTTCTCCTACAAAGTGCATGTGTAAAATGTCTCTCAAAGCTATCGAAAAATTGCTGGACAAAGTCTTTTTTTTTACTAACAGAATTATAAGTTTAAGTCAATAAACTCCTTCATTAATTATTTTTTTGAAGGAACCAGGAAATTTAGATACTAAATTTAGAGCTGGTCCCTCTCCAAAGTATGTTGGGGAAGTACTCGATTTTTTCATTTCGAATACAGAAAAGGCGCTGAATACGAGGTTATTTTGAGGGACTGGAGAAGATGGCACTGGAAAGTGTCCTTTTCAACAAAACTCTTGCTATCAAGAAACTTCATCCACAAGAAATTGAAAGCCAAGCGCAACACACAGACTCCTGCATAGCTTAATCTTGTAGGCCATCGAGTGAATTCACTGCCAGGCCATGAGCATTTGGCGGAGGAAGTAGACTGAAAGAGAAATGAGACTGAAAAATCATTTGTGAACGAATTGCTGATCAAAAGAGAATCTTTTGCTATATTATAGCGGATGGGAAATCTGGAACATTTCCCTGAAGCTGCTGAGGTGGTCTACTTTTTTAAGCTCACACTTTTCCAGTAATACAATGAAGAAATGTAAAATGGTTTCCGTATTTACATAGCCTGATGTAAACACGCGGGAGGTTGGGAGAACACTCGATAAGCGTAGGAAACCACGACGCGAAGCGGAGTGGTTTCTAGCATCAAGCTATGTAAACACGGAAACCATTTTACATTTCTTTATAAAATAACTAATGAAAGAGGAACGAAAACCGTGTTTACATACGCTCATGTAAAATGGTTTTATGGCCAATCAGAGCGCGTGTACTATTTTAATTATTTTATAAACGCATATATGAGGTATTAGATAACCGCGCGTGGATACGAATTTTACCATCGAGTGTTCATGACATCTTTTAACTCCTTCAAACAGATAATTCAATTCAAGCAGATAAATTCGTATCGATAGGCATGTATCATCCATTTTATTCAAAAGATATTGGTTGAAAATTTGAATCACATACACTTTTTTAAATAGGAGCATCGATTACAGAGATCTGCTGCGCCGAAACTCAGCTCGCCGAAAAATCAATTCAATTCCGGATATTGTAATACAACAATTTCTCATTACAAGAACTATTTCCTTTAAGAAAGAATTGAATTCAGCTTCAGGTAAAAACTACAATTGAAAAAAAAAAAACAGCCCACATGGAAGGTAAAACTTTCATGTTGATAAATCCGATTGTAATGACGGCATTGGTACCTAGATATGTGAAGATATAAATGGTACATTTACAGCGTGCGGTGGACATGTCACGTTTTGGAAACTGAAAAAATTCTGGTATTTCACCGACAACCATATTACCGTTATCATTACTATATATCGCGAATGTTACCATATTACGTAGGGATTGTGTAATTTTTTTTTCAACCTCGAGCTTTGTTACAAACTTACAAAGAGATATTTGCTGATTTTGATATTGACGAGAGCTCTAATTATATACGTCACGTTATCTAGCTCTGTCACATGCTCGTCACGCGCTTCTGCCGCATAATCATCACGCACAGTTAAACCTTTAACTCCCGAGATCTAATTGTTAATTCTCCCCTCTAGCTGCTACATGTTTCATTTCAAAGTAGATACAGAAATTTGGTGTTAGTTCAAAGATAACGAATTCTACCTGATAAAACTTTGAGTATTCTCATTGCCTGTTTGCTGGATAATGTATTCATATTACAAGAATAAGTTACAAGTTTTATCACTTCGAGGAGTTTAAGGCTTTAGGAAATTGCATCGCGTGTAGACTATTAAACCAGTCAAATGAGAGAAACCATTGAAATATCTTCACATCTGATAACAATAAACCGGAAAATTCGACTGAAATTAACCTTGATTGTTGTCAGCCGCAAGAAAAATAAGATTGTGATCTTTCATTATAAATAACATGAGCTCTACAGCTCTAATCAGTTGCAGAATGAAAATTGATTTGTACCTGTTAAACTGTTATCCTCTCAATCCTTCTATTCTCCAGACGATGTCATTTGTTAATTCTACAGGCCTGAAAATATCAAAAATAATATTTTGCTTTACAACAATTCGATGAAAAAATGAAGGTAACATATTCAAGAGTTTGAAAGATGTAACCTCATCTAATGCTCAGTATTGTGCTTGTATTTTTGTCTGTTTGTTTTTTTTTTTATTCTTTTTATGATTATTACTTGTTGACATGTTTCTCCATGGCGATTAATTATTTCTGTGATTTAAATTCAGCTCTTTCTCTTTCAGTGCAAAACACTCGCATTCGCAAAACCCTTTCCTTCTCTGAGCAGGACATGTTACGCCCTGCCATAACTGAATCGATAAGGATGAATTTACACCGTGAGTTATATTGTACCAATGCAATTTCTCTTCAAATGATCAACTCGATATATCCCTCGTTCAATATGATACACATTTGTTTTTGGTCATCTTCCCATTAGCGTTACAATTCTCTCAAATTTTCATCTTCCGCTCTCACCGTGACAACTTCAAAAAGTTTCTAAAATTAATAACGGTAAGCTTTTTTCTTGTAAATAACTCCCGCCAATTGCGCCCTAAATACTTTTGCAGTCAAAAGCGTAGGTGTCCGGTGTAATCACTAGAGGGAGATACAAAGCTAAAGAAACCACATCAATAATATGTATTCTTAATGAAAATTTTTCCCAATTTTCCTGTCTTTCGATTATAATATTCTACATATTTCTTCATTATCTTTTCTCACCTGAAGATTACTTGCAATAAATTTAACTCCAATAAAGTTCTTTTGCAAGAAAAATACTTGACTTCTCGTTGTATCTAGAGAAAAGCATATTGAAATCGTTTCGCGTCTTGGAAAGAATTAAAGCGAATACCATAAGTACTCTTCTTAAAAAAAATATCCGAGGAAGATATTCAAAATTTTTTTAAATCTGTGTACTCCATGCATCTTTGTGTGCAGAAACCCTCTGTGTATCTTATAAGAATTTTATGAATAAATTGTTACTGAACCAGTTGTCTTTAAGTTGGAAGAGAAATCTGAGGCCGTAGTTCTCTGTCTCTTTGAGCTCTAAAATTGTCAGCCGAGTTTGGATGCAGTAAGCGAGGCCATAAATAAATGTCTAACAGTTCGTACAGACAAGTGACGCACATGATACTGGAATCAGAAATGCCGCAGCTTCGTAAATCCCTCATGGGAAGATAAATAAGCTACCTCAAGGTCTGGTATGTTTATCTTCATGTCAGCATTGATATTTAATCTGTCGTTTAACCTGATCTGACGGATAGGGTTTTTCTTTTCGGTCGTCGGTTAAAAATGATTTTTTCCTTTGTCACGCAAGAGCTTGAAATTTCCTTTCTATCATTATGTATTTGAAGACATGAAACTTTCGACATTGATGATCTAAGCAGTATGCAGGATGATCCTTTATGTATCCATTGTATGTCATGGATCATTAACGAGAAATCTATAGCTATGTGTGAGAACTTCAGATCGTAAAATCCGATGGTCTAAGATTCGATCCTGCGTTAGTGACGAGTAAATAAGATCGATATTTTTTTCATTCTTTTGTCTCATGTTTCAAATTATTTCTATTTGTATCTTAGTCAATATCCGTTTATCTCATTCACTGCATTCGGTCGCTATTAACTTATTCTGTCCTCACCTTAACTCCTGTGAAAATGTGATTTGCCCCAGAAGTGTGTAACAAAACGGTGCACTTGGTAACACCAGCAGTATTGAAGAAGCTGAATATGAGCTCATCGAACTCGAAACAGAAAATCGTGTCATTGCTTATTTCGCGATCCATGATTCTATTTTGTAGCGATGCTGTTTCACTATTTATACGCCAAGTTTGGACAGGGCCTCATATTACATTTTTGAACTATTCTTTTTCATTAATTCGGAGTGTAGCACAATGATATAAACATGCTATTTTTTTTTAGTATACTTATTTTTTGCTGATGTGATGGTCGTTAAACCATCGCCTGCTTAGGGTGGTCGAAGGGCGCTGGACTGCCATACGAGAGGTCTTGACAGGACAGGGAAAAATGAGACACACACATACTGAACGCATAGTGAAGGAACTTTTCTTATTAAAGATGCAGGCGATTTGTCGGCCTGGAAACTTGACAAATTTCTTAGGAAAAGTTGACCAATAGAGCTTTAATTCGACGGGTGAGTGAAAAGAAATGACCTGAGGCGAAATTTAGCAAAAAGTTATTGTATAGCGAATACGACCAAAAATACAAGGAAAAATGACATCTGAAATCTAATAAATTAACTACAGAGGAAAATCAGTTTAGTAAGACTGGAGAATTCATGAAGTATCTTTAATAATATCAAAGTCATTCCAAATCTTACAGAAATTTGACAACCTGTCAGAAAGCCATCCATGGTTTTATTGTTCAGTGACTGAGAAATGTGTTCTTCCAAGGTCTTTTTGCTTCGTGTGTCACTGGCATTCATTTCAATGTACGTAAAACCCAGCTCTTCACAAACCAGGGTACATGTAGCTGTTGTTGTTTTTCCAACTCCTGGGGAACCGGA